TAAACAGGATACATAACTAAATAAAAAAAAAGCAAAAATAGAGCCTTTTGATTTCCATTTAAGAAAAATATTCAGGGTTTGCCAGCATATAAATAGCGTCTGAGCAGAAAGTGTTGGCATTAGTCTGTAAAAGTCTAGAAAATGGGCCAAGCATAATTTGAATATATTTTGTATCTGATCCTTCTTTTGAGGTAAAAAATGAATAGTGTAAATCTTTGTAGGGTTGTCCTTGAATAGCAATGGCAAAACCCAGAAAGCCGCCTTTATTTTGGAAGGCGGCGCGGCAGAGGGATGGGTACAGCTGTCAAACAGTCCAAAATAAAAAAAAAAATTTAGAAAAGAAGAAAAAAGTAGCATCTTAATTATTTCATAAGATTCCGAGAATATGACAGCCCTGATATGAGCGAAAGACTACTCAAAGAAGACTTGTCAGAAGCAGAAAAAAAATCACAGTGAAGCTCTCAGCAATAGCAAAGACTGGAACCAACCCAAATGTCTCAGCCATGATGGACAAGACTGGATATAGCAAAATGTGGCACTGGCGCGGTGGTCACGCCTATAATCCCAGCCCACTTTGGGAGGCCTAGAGCGGGCAGATCACCTGAGGTCAGGGAGTTCGGAGACCCAGCCTGACCAATATCGGAGAAACGCCCCTACTTTTCTGTTAAAAAAAAAAATACAAAACTAGCCAGGCGTGGTGGTGCATGGCTGTAATCCCAGCTAGTTGGGAGGCTGAGGCAGGAGAATCGCTTGCCATTGCACTCCAGTCTGGGCAGCAATAGCAAAACTCACCATGGAATACTACGCAGCCATAAAAAAGGATGAGTTCATGTCCTTTGCAGGGACATGGATGAAGCTGTAAACCATCATTCTCAGCAAACTATCATAAGGACAGAAAACCAAACACTGCACAGTCTCACTCACAGGTGGGAACTGAACAATGAGAACACATGGACACAGGGAGGGGAACATCACACACCGGGGCCTGTCGGAGGGGTAGCAGGCTGGAGGAAGGATAGCATTAGGAAAAATACCTAATGTAAATGACGAGTTGATGGGTGCAGCAAACCAACATGGCACATGTATACCTATGTAACAAACCTACACATTATGCACATGTACCCTAGAACTTGAAGTATAATTTAAAAAATGTTAAACTTTTAAAAAAAGATCACAGTGAATGGGTACAAAAATACAATTAGATAGAAGGACTAAGATCTAGAGTTCGGTAGCCTAGATCTGGCCTAGGGTGGCTATAGTTAAAATAATTTATTGTATATATTTCCTTTTTTTTTTTTTCTTTTTTTTTGAGACAGAGTCTGCTCTGTCACCCAGGCTGGAGCTCAATGGCGCAATCTCGAATCACTGCAACCTCCGCCTCCCAGGTTCAAGCGATTCTCCTGCCTCAGCATCCCGAGTAGCAGGAATTACAGGTTTGTGCCACCATGCCTGGCTAATTTTTGTGTATTTTGTAGAGATGGGGTTTCGCCATGTTGTCCAGGCTGGTCTGAAACTCCTGAGCTCAAGCAATCCTCCCACCTTGGCCTCCCAAAGTGCTGGGATTACAGGCATAAGCCACCACGCTCGGCCTTTCTTTAATGTTTTTTTGAGACAAGGTCTTGCTCTGTCACCCCGGTTGGAGTGCAGTGGTACAATCTCAGCTTACTGCAGCCTCAACCTCCCAGACTCAAGCAATCCTCCCACCTCAGCCTCCTAACTAGGACTACAGGTACATACCACCAATCCCAGCTAATTTTTGTATTTTCTGTAGAGATGGGGTTTGCCAGGTTGCCCAGGCTGATCTTGGACCCCTGGGCTCAAATGATACTCCTGCTTTGGCCTCCCAAAGTGCTGGGATTACAGGCATGAACCACCGCACCCAGTCTGTATATTTCAGAATAACTAGAGGAGTGGAGTTGGAATGTTTCCAACACAAATAAATGATAAATGTTTGAGGAGATAAATATCCCAATTACTCTGATTTGATCATTACACATTGCATGCTTGTATCAAAATATACCATGTACCCCATAAATATGTACAACTATTATGTATGCATAAAAATTAAAAATAAACATGACAAAATGTACCATTAAGAATATTAGTCCCCCCACCAAAAAAATAAATAAAAACAACAAAAGAAGAAAAAAAGAAAAAACAACAAAAAAAATAAATAAAAAGAAGAATATTAGTCTGAGGCCAGGTGCGGTGGCTCTGGTGAACCCAGAGGTTAAGACTACAGTAAGCCATGTTTGTGCCCTGCACCCTAGCTGGGTAATAGAGACCCTGTCTCAAAACAAAAATAAAACTGGGCAAAGGCTGGGCGAGGTGGCTTATGCCTTTAATATTCCCAGTGCAGCCGGGCGTGGTGGCTCACGCCTGTAATCCCAGCACTTTGGGAGGCCAAGGCGGGTAGATCACAAGGTCAGGAGTTCGAGACCAGCCTGGCCAATATGGTGAAACCCCGTCTCTACTAAAAATATAAAAATTAGCCGGGTGTGGTGGCGGGCACCTATAGTCCCAGTTACTTGGGAGGCTGAGGCAGGAGAATCACTTGAACCTGGGAGGCAGAGGTTGCAGTGAGCCGAGATCGAGCCACTGCACTCTAGCCTGGGCAACAGAGCAAGACTCCGTCTCAAAAAAAAAAAAAATGTGTATATATACATATACACACACATGCACACACACACATATATATACATATATATATATAGACACATATATACATGTGTGTATATATATATTCCCAGTGCTTTGTGAGACCAAGAGTTTGAGATGAGCCTTGGAAACATAGTGAGAACCCATCTCTACAAAAAATAAAAAATAAAAAAATTAGCTGGGCATGGTGGCTCACACCTATAGTCCTAGCTACTTGGGAAGCTGAGGCAGAATTGCCTGAGCTCAGGAGTTTGAGGTTACAGTGAGCTATGATCACACCAGTGCATTCCAGCCTGGGTAACAGAGTGAGACCCTATCTCAGAAAACAAAACAAAACAAAAACTGGGCAAAATACCTGAACAGATACCTCACCAAAGAAGTTATACAGATGATAATCACAGAAAAAGATACTCAACATCATATGTCATTAGAGAATTGCAAATCAAAATACAATGAGTTACCACTACATACCTATTAGGATGGCTACAATTTTTTTTTAAAAAATGACACCACCAAATGCTTGTGAGGATTGCTGATGGAAATGCAAAATGGTACAGCAGCTTTGGAAGACAGTTTGGCGGTTTCTTACAAAAGTAACCATACTCTTACTATATGATCCAACAGTCTTGCTCCTTGGTATTCACCCAAATGAGTTTAAAACTTATGTCCACTCGGCCGGGCGCAGTGGCTCACGCCTGTAATCCCAGCACTTTGGGAGGCCGAGGCAGGCGGATCACGAGATCAGGAGATCGAGACCATCCCGGCTAACCCGGTGAAACCCCGTCTCTACCAAAAACACAAAAAATTAGCCGGGCGTTGTGGCAGGCGCCTGTAGTCCCAGCTCCTAGGCAGGAGAATAGAGTGAACCCGGGAGGCGGAGGTTACAGTGAGTCGAGATCGCACCACTGCACTCCAGCCTGGGCGACAGATACAGGCTCCGTCTCAAAAAAAAAAAAAAAAAAAAGAAAAAAAAATTTTTTTAAACTGGAACACAGAGGATAAGTAATCCTGCCTCACCCCTTGCCTCTCGCCCTTGCATGGGGCGAGGCAGGATTGATCAAACCCAGAAAGACTGAGGATGGATGCTGAACACAGAACTGAAGGATGAATGGGAATTACCTGAATAGAACAGGGGCTTGAGTGCAAGAAGAGGCGGGCATTCCAGGCAGAGGAGAGCAATGGTAAGGGCCCCACGGTAGGCATCCGAGTAGGAGGGTAGAACTATGATGATAGAAGACTGAATAACGATCGAATGAAACCAAATGATTGGGCGCCTTCTTTCGGATCCTTGACTTCCAGGGTCAGCAGTCTCTATTGGCTCTTATACCGTTGCTCTATGAGGTATCAATGTTTTTGTCCTTCAGCCTCCCCTCCAATTGCTGAGCTCCTGGTGTGTTTTGAGGAGTAGAAGGCAAAAAGAACCCTCTTGTTTTTCTTTGGATCCGGAGAGAGAGTGAGCAAATAACAAAGCAAATGGTGTAAAATGTCTTTTTGTTTAGTTTTTCTCGATCTTCCCATGAGAGGCAAATACATGTTAAGGATAGTTGAATCTGGGTAAAGGGTACAGAAATGTTCCTTACAAGATTTTTGTTGGCAACTGGTGCAAGTATGAAATTATTTCCAAATAGGAAGCTAAAACAAACAAAACAATTGGCCTTGGGAAACTGGCCAATCTTGAAATAATCAAGTAATATTGTTAAGGGACAATCAGTATTGTGAAAACACGAATACGCCCCCTCCCTCCCCCTCAAAAAAACCCCTAAATTCTGTTCCCCCGTTGCTAATGTGCGATCCTGGCAAAGTCATCTAAGCCGCTGAGCTTCAGTTCCTCCACCCCAGAGAGTTGTTGCAACGATCAAATGAAAGAACGTATATTAAAGCCTTTCATGAACTATATTATTACTGCTACCGTAGAAATGGAAAGTGTACAACAATAATTTGGACTAGATCCAAAACTACTTTTGACACTTCTGAGACTGTGGCCGCGCCACTGTCACCTTCCAAAGGTCACCAGGCCTTTCCTGAGCTGGCATTGGCAGCGCACACTCTTGCCCGGCTCACCTTTCCAGGTGGGCGGTGCTCGCGCTGCTCGGCTCTCCAGGTGACCGCGGCAGCTGCCCGAGAGCGCAGGCGCGGAGGCAGACCACGTGAGAGTCTGGCCACGCCTTCCGACCTAGCCTCACTCTGGCCCCGCCCCTCTCGAACGCCTTCGCGGGATCGCCCTGGAAACGCATTCTCCGGGACAGGCAGCCACCAATGGGAAAGGAGTGAGTGCCACGAACAGGCCAATAAGGAGGGAGCAGTGCGGGGTTTAAACCTGAGGCTGGGCCTGCTCTTCCCGGCGTGCTGCGGAGGAACGGCTGTTGGTCTCTGCTGGGTGCAGGTCCTCGGCTGGTCGGGGCTCCGGTGTTCTGCTTCTCCCCGCTGAGCTGCTGCCTGGTGAAGAGGAAGCCATGGCGCTCCGAGTCACCAGGGTGAGCCGCTACGGACTGCGAACTGACGCGGCCTTCTTCGCTGCAGCCTGCTCGCTCTGCCTCGCCTGCGGGAGCCCCCCGAGCGGGAGAGGGCCGCAGGAACGATTTGGGGAGGAAGGTGGGAGGGAAGTCACCAAGAGAGCGTCGAGGTGGGCCCAGGCCTGGTGGGGGAGTGTGGGGGACGATGGATGGAGGGAGGAAGGTGAGAAAGAGAACTGAACCGATATTGGATAAATGTTCGGGGGAGATGGAAAGTCGACTGGGAACCTTTTGAAAAAGTGATAGAGGGTCCCTGAGTGGGCCCGCTAGCAGCTCTGTAACCCCCTTCCCAGAGAGAAGGTGTCTGCAATTGGAGGCTTTTTCGGTTTCCTTTCAAACGTAAATTCTCGGTATTTTAGGGCTGGGCAGGACTAATCAGGGAATCCCTCAATTGGTAAATGTAGAGGTTGTCGGCGGAAACTGACTTGTCACGGCCGCAGAGTAGACTCTGGGACCCACGTTTTCCCTCGGAACCCATTTTTACTCGGCTTTCCTTCTGGGAACTTCTCTTGTGCCCCACCTTAATTAACCCTTGACTTACTCGAGCCTCCGTGGACCAGCTCTTAAAGTGGTCTTGCTTCTTTCAGAACTCGAAAATTAATGCTGAAAATAAGGCGAAGATCAGCATGGCAGGCGCAAAGCGCGTTCCTACGGCCCCTGCTGCAACCTCCAAGCCCGGATTGAGGCCAAGAACAGCTCTTGGGGACATTGGTAACAAAGTCAGTGAACAACTGCAGGCCAAAATGCCTATGAAGAAGGTAACTGTCTTCCCGACCTAACTTCTGTAAGAGCTGGCCTTCCAACTGTGGCCTTTGATGCAGAAACATTTCATTCTCTCTGTTTCATCTACAGGAAGTAAAACCTTCAGCTACTGGAAAAGTTATTGATAAAAAACTACCAAAACCTCTTGAAAAGGTACCTATGCTGGTGCCAGTGCCAGTGTCTGAGCCAGTGCCAGAGCCAGAACCTGAGCCAGAACCTGAGCCTGTTAAAGAAGAAAAACTTTCGCCTGAGCCTATTTTGGTAAACTTATTCTTACCATTGTAGAGTCTGTTGATTATTTCTTGTCCCTTATTTCACTGCAAGAGCATTCAAATTAATACCATTTATTGAGTGCTTAGCATGAGGCAATCTCTGCCCAACATTCTACATGCATTAACTCACATAATCTTTACAGGTACTCTGAGGTAGGTATTGTCACCTCTACTATTTAAATCATGGCTTTAGAGAGGTTATGTCAGGGTCACACAGGTAAGTGGCCCATATGAGATTTAAGCTCAGGCTGTCTGGCTTCAGAATCTATGCTTTTAATTGTTAACTGTCTTATATTCCTTCGTTAATGATATTAAGTAGTACCTGCCTGAGCCAAAGGCTTTGTTTGTCCAAGTACAAGCCACCTCTGCAGAATTTATTGGAGTAAACAGAATGTTCTCTTGAAATTTTTTACTGCCTAATATGGCTACTAAATAATAAACCTGTAACACTGGAAAATGCAAAGGAGTAAAACAGGAAGAATGCAACTTTTCAGGGAGTGGTTAAGAAGATGAATTAACACTTAGCCTCAAAACCAGTAACTTTTTATTAAATAAAAGGTATGTAAATGTATCCTATGATAGACCTCCCTGTGAAGGAAAGGTAGGTCATGTAGAGGAGGCTGCTTTGATGAAACTGCAATGAACTGCATTCTGAAGCTCAGTTTTTTAAACTTAGTTAAAACCAGTTGGGAAAATTATCTGAAAAAAAATTTTTTGAGACAGAGTCTGGCTCTGTTGCCCAGGCTGGAGTGCAGTGGTGTGATCTCGGCTCACTGCAACCTCTGCCTCCCAGGTTCAAGCAATTTTCCTCCTCAGTCTCCCTAGTAGCTGGGATTACAGGCGCACAACACCACACCCAGCTAATTTTCATATTTTTAGTATAGATGAGGTTTCACCATGTTGGCCAGGCTGGTCGTGAACTCCTGACCTCGTGATCTGCCTACCTCGGCCTCCCAAAGTGCTAGGATTACAGGCGTGAGCCACCGCGCCCAGCCAGTTAAGCTTCTTATATCTAAGGATAAGACATTGAAAACTATTGCTTTAGTGTTGAATTTCTGGGCATAGCACATGAAACATGTAGCCAGCATGGTCTTTGGGCATATCAAACTACATGATGCTTTCTCGAAAGGTCCATACCGATTCTTACCTTTGCTTTCCCACTTAGTAAGAATGCCTTCCCCACCCTTTCATTTAGCTAATAACCTTTTCATCTTTGAAAACAGCTCAAGCATCAACTCCTGAAGCTTTCCTGAACTTCTCCCATCTCCACCCCTGTTCCTAGAATCAGTCTTTTTGTTTGTTTTGAGACAGTCTCATTCTGTTGCCCAGGCTGGAGTGCAGTGATGCCATCTCAGCTCACCGCAACCTCTGCCTCCTGAGTTCAAGCGATTCTCCTGCTTCAGCCTCCCAAGTAGCTGGGACTACAGGCACGTGCCACCATGCCTGACTAATTTTTCTATTTTTAGTAGAGACGGGGTTTCACTATGTTGGCCAAGCTGGTCTCGAACTCCTGATCTCGTGATCCACCTGCCTCAGTCTCCCAAAGTGCTAGGATTACAGACATGAGCCACCATGCCCAGTCTCAGTCTTATTTTTGTTTATTTATTTATTTTTTCCCGAGACGGAGTCTTGCTGTGTCACCCAGGCTGGAGTGCAGTGGCATGATCTTGGCTCATTGCAACCTCCGCCTCCCGGATTCAAGCAGTTCTCTTGCCTCAGCCTCCTGAGTAGTTGGGATTACAGGCACCCGCCACCACACCCAGCTAATTTTTTTATTTTTAGTAGAGAGGGAGTTTCACCAGGTTGGCCAGGCTGGTCTCAAACTCCTGACCTCATGATCCGCCAACCTGGGCCTCCCAAAGTGCTGGGATTACAAGTGTGAGCCACCGCACCCGACCTTATTTCTTTACTTTGTCTACTAAATTCAGAGTCCCTGAGGATGCCATGAAGTCAATGCCTTGTAGAGTTTGACTTGAAGAAGGGGCTCAATAAATGTTTGAACAATGGGATAAAGGGAGCTTGAAGGAAGTGGTTAATGGTAATGAAGTTAATCCTTAGTAGTCAGGATAGAATTTATGTTATTTTGAGTAGTGAGAAGCAGTTTATATTTTGAAATAAAGACTAAAGACTGAACTGTCCTTTATTTGGATTAACTTCACATGTTGCTGATAAAGATTAATTACTTCTCAGTTTCCTTTGCAGGAAAGTCTAGAATGTGAATTTATTTGCTTCCAACTTTAAACTGACTCACTCTGAGTTGGCATTTCACTCTTTTTTTTGCCCAGGCTGGATTAGAATGGCGCAATCATAGCTCACTGTATCCTCAAACTGCTGGGCTCAAGTGATCCTCCTACCTTGGCCTCCTGAGTAGCTAGGATTATAGGCAGTTGCCTTCATGCCCAGCTAATTTTTTGTAGAGATGAGTTATTGCTATATTGCCCAGGCTGGTCTCGAACTCATGGTCTCAAAGGATCCTCCCACCTCAGCCACCCAAAGAACTGCGATTACAGGCTTGAGCCACCATGCCCGACCTCATTCTTTTTAATTGAGTAATTAAATGATCACTTTCTTTTTTAACAAAGACAGGGTCTTGCTATATTGCCAAGGCTTGTCTTGATCTCCTGGCCTCAACCTCAGCCTCTCAAAGCGCTGAGATTAAAGGCGTGAGCCACCGCGCCCAACCCAAATGATCACTTTGGATGTTAATCACTTCCTAAAAAGAAATGGAATAAGTCTGAAAAGATACTTTTCCTTTAAGGAAATGAATTGTATGTTGATTCAGGAGAATACTATCTTGAGTTGGTACCAATAACCTGACCTTCAAGCCCAAACTATAGTGCTTACTCCTATTTGCTCTTGTTTCAAGAGATCTCTTTGTTTTAAGGTTGATACTCCCTCTCCAAGCCCAATGGAAACATCTGGATGTGCCCCTGCAGAAGAAGACCTGTGTCAGGCTTTCTCTGATGTAATTCTTGCAGTAAATGATGTGGATGCAGAAGATGGAGCCGATCCAAACCTTTGTAGTGAATATGTGAAAGATATTTATGCCTATCTGAGACAACTTGAGGTCAGTATTATCATTAGTTTTTTTTCTAAACTGCATCTAACTTTATGAAAGTCTTTTCTATCAATAGTTCATAATAATTCAAGCAGGACTTGGGCAGCATTTCTTAAGAGATCGCACTTTCAAATTCTCCTTCATGGAATACCTAAAATAAAAAGTCACTAAATCAATGGAGTCTATTTGCCACTTTGTGCAGGAAAGTTCGAAGTCAGGGTGGATACTACTATCGGTCTTTCTGAAGGAAAGTCCACAGATTGAATTTGATATGTATATGTGCAATCTCCACCGTATTTGGAATGGTTAAGTCCCAAACTCTGCATTTTAGGTAATAATGGGTCAGCAAGTGGATGAGGATGTAGAATATACTCAAAGACTACAGCCACCCCTAACACAAGGCATTTTGTGTTAGTGTGGCTGATGTGCGTCCAGTTGTTGGTGAAATTATTTGTGCCCAAAAGGAGTACACTCAAAAGCTACTTTTTGGTTCACTTCAATTTGATC